GGCCCAGGTTCGATCCTCAGCACCACATACCAACAAAGATGTTGTGTCCGCCGAGAACTAAAAAATAAATATTAAAAATTCTCTCTCTCTTTCTCTCTCTCTCCTCTCTCACTCTCTCTTAAAAAAAAGAGAGAGAAGGAGAAAGAGAGAGATAGAGAGAAAGAGAGAGAGAAAGAAGGAAAGAAAAAACATAAGTGGAGTTCCTATTCTCTGCCTGGTCCCAAACTAGAAAGGACTTTATCCAGCTTTTAAAATTCTATCACCTCACAAAATGGCAGCAGGTTGGCCATGGCTGAATCTGTCCCCTGGGAATGGGTCCCCCAAACCTGAGCCAGGAGGGCCCACTACCCCTGGGAGGTGACGCCTCTGACATGAAGGCTTTGGTGAGCTGTGGCTGCTTGTGGTGCCCTAAGAGCTATCAGAAGACAAGAATCACCACAGAGGAGAACGTGGTGGCCACACCGGTGATCCCAGTAACTCGGGAGGCTGAGGACGAGGATGGCAAGTTCAAGGCCAGCCTCAGCAAATTTGTGAGACTGTCTCAAAATAAAAAGGGCTGGGAGTGTCATTCAATGGTAGAGTGCCCCAGCTATAAAAGGAAAAAAAAAGCAACAAGGAGATGAATTTGTCACTCAAGGTGGGGTCTGGGTGAGGCTCATTTTCTCCATCATGTTTTCCGAGTTGTAATTCTCCCACCTTAAAAATCCAAACACCCTCTTGCTCCCATCTCTCCTGGGAGCCAAGATCTCACCACTACTGAGGGACACAGCCTGGGGGTCAGCCGCTGATGGTTCAAAGGGAGCCTCGCGCAGGGGCCAGGGTGAGGGGAGCAGGTGGAGTCTCCAGCCCCTCTCCTGGCCCAGTGCTCAAGGCAGATCAGAGCCATCCTGCAGCGACAGGACAGAGAGGGAACCTGGGTCCTCAGAGGGCCACAGCAGGCCTGCCCGGGGAGTGCAGAGAGCAGGGAAGGCCCAGCAGAGACTCCAACCCCCCAGACCTTCAGCCACTGCTCAGCCTCCCCCGGCTCGCCCTCCACAGGCTGCGCTGTGATGGAGATTTCTATTTTCTTTCTTCCTTTGTTCTTTCTCTTCTGTGGTACTGGGGTTGAACTCAGAGGTGCTCCACCACTGAGCCACATCCCCAGCCCTTTTAATATTTTATGTTTTTTAGACAGGGCCTCACTAAGTTGCAAAGGCTGGCCTTGAACGCATGGTCCTCCTGCCTCAGCCTCCCCAGTCACTGGGGTGACAGGCTTCAGCACCTGGCCAGGACTCAGTTTTTCACGAGATCATAGTGTAGTTCTGCAAAAGCACAGGTGGCTGCACTTGAGCCTGCGTGATCCTAAAGAACTTCTCATTTTAAAGATGATGAGGTGGAAGCTCAGAGAAGTTAAGTAACCTGTGAAAGGTCACAAAGCTGCTTACTCAGAGGTATTGTATCTACCCTCTCGTTCGAGGACCCACTCTGAGGCTCCCTCTGAACACACACTGTATTCAGTTTGGATGAGGGTCCCCTGAAGCCCACCTGCTAAAGGCATGATTTCCCCACGATGCTACTGAGGAACCCATGGGAGGCAGGGTGGAGGAGGTGAGGTCGCTGGAGTGCCCCTCAGGGCACCTCTCCCCGTCCTGACTCCCCAGTCACTGGGCAGTGAGCAGCCTCCTCGCAGGGGCTCCCTGAGGAGGAGCCGCCTTGTCTCAGGTGCAAAAGCAACAGGAACAGTGGCATTGTGGGTGCTCTACAAAATTCTATAGATTTCCAGGTGCCCCTATATAGGATGATGGGGCATGTGGGTCTTTGGAGGGAGAAAAATCTGTTCTGGGTTGATTTTGTGTTTTGTGAAGCAAGTCTGGCTTGGATGTAACTGTGCTCCAA